TTATTTATTTATTCCGCAACAGGCACATGTGTTGTATGAAATGCCCTGTTCGCACTGCGTACAGAAGTTTTCGAACTGGCAGGTGAATAGTTAGGATCAGAAGCCTTTTTGATGCGTCCTGAGACTGGGTTCAAGGTGCAAAAGAGTAAGGTATAGAGTGCTGTGGGAAGGTAGGAAGACTGACGGGTTTTATTCGTGTGTATAGCCAAAAGATATAGAAATGAAATGAAAAGCCGCTCTGGTTAACTTGACTGTGTGAGTTTGTGGGCGGCGGCTTAACTCAGTAGTAAGACACATTCACCTCAACACACTATTGCTAAACAGATATCAGTTACTATTATATAAGAGGAACGCTATTCTGGCAAACCCCACCACGTCCTAGAACACTGCCCTCAATTATTTTGTATGGTACTATATAAATGGCAATGCATCTTACAAGCCAATCATACACTCGGCTATTCGCCATCATATGAGCTGTAAATACCTTCATTGGCTAACCGAATTGCTTAGTCAAGGTCCTCCAGCAGTCGCTGAATCCGGTCCAAAAAGGAACGTCTATAAAAGTAGGGTGAAGGATTGTGCAGGCGAGTACGGTTTCGAATTAATGGACTTTGGACTTTCCTTTGTGGTATACTGGTCCTGGCATGAAGAATTCGTGTCCAAGTACTCACACTGGACGCATCAAGTGGTGAGTGCGAGTATTCCTTATGGCTGAATTCATCACACCTCAGGCGAAATGCCATTCCTCAGATAAATGCTGGAGCCACAGGAAGCGCGCATAATAAAGTTTAACTCACTGGTAAAATTATGGGAGTAAATGAGCCGAACGCCTAAGTTCAGGCCACGTAAAAACGTAGGTTGTCCACAGTTGGTGTACAGAATTCTTCCACAGGTAAGTTGTTGGAAACAGAAATGGTCTTCATGCCCAGCACTGACGCTATGATATGCCATCAGAAAAGCTCCAGGTAAGAGAAGCATCAAAATGTTCTTGCAGAAAGGTCTGGCGCCGAACCCAATTCTTCAAAAACCTAGCAGAGGCAGCAAGGCTGTCAATGTCAAA